AAGAAATTGTGATATAAAAGGAGGCGTTCAGTTGCTCTGTGTATATAGGTTAAACTTGGCATTCCAGTATTTGTTGCTTTTACAGTTCTGAGAGGTTGGATAAAAACCTGTTATTAATCTGGGACTTCACTCTGCTGCACAGTGTGTTCTTTCTGGCTGTAGTATGCTGGTCTTTGTAGGTGACCTGTGATGGTGCAGTCTGCTGGCACGAAAGAAACTGCGGAGGTTTTCGTTGCACCTGCAGCGCAGTCCCTTTGCAGTGGAGTCCCTCTCAGTCAGCTGATGTTTTGCTGTACTGCTGGGACTGATAGGCTGGAGTTGTTTGATTAACATCTAGGTAGAGTTTCCAGTATATATGTGTGTGTGTATGTGTGTGTATACGCAGTAGTGACTCCTGTGAAGCTTTGTTCTTTAAGTCTCCTTTTGGTCTGTGCTCACTCAGCCAGTGGTGAAAGCAACTCTTTCAAGTGTTATCCTAGAAATGGTACATAGAAAAAAACAACAGTGTATGTCATATTACAAACATACAGCACACAGACTCAAGCACATAAGCATATATATTATAAACCTCTTGCAAAAATAAATATGAAATATTAGAAAATATTAGATTATTTCAGCCTTTTTAATGTTGCTTTTAGATTTTTGTATTTTGGAAAGATTTTTTTGTATTGTGAACTATGGCATTATGTTTTATGCACTGTTGTAGACTGCTCAGAGAGTTTTGGCTACTGGATAGTAGAGAAATTAGATTATTAATAATAAAAGTAACAACAGCAATAACAGCAATAAGCATTTACCAACAATTCAACACATAAATCTAACATTTATATTAAACTGCACCTTATATTTCATGCCCTTAGATCTTCTTTCATTGTCAGATGATAAACAATTTAATATTCTAGGATTGCAAATGGGTGCTAATATAATTTTTCCCATTAATTTCATTTATTTGTTACAACATTGGGGAAACACATCTGTAACTTTGTTAGGAGGCATTTTAAGCAAAACAAAAGGATTGGTGGAGAAAGGTTTTTGTGGTCCTCTTTTTTCCTGTCACTTTCCTGCTTAGAATTGTAGGCTTCTGAGGCTGTTGTTCACATTAAAAAGCCGGAGTTTCATTATACACATTTGGGTAGTTTGCCCCTGAGGAATGTTACTTAGCAGTTTTCATCAGTGGGACAAGATTTTCTAAGAAATAAAGCTTGCAGTAGAATTGAGGCAGTTTCTCACCAGAATTAGCACAGAGAGGCCCTTCCAGATCTTTTGGACTGCAGGGGGATGGGCTGATGGAAGTTGGTCTCAAACACCAGGTTGCAAAATGCTGGTGTAGAATGGCAAGATTTCAGTTTTCCTGTGTTATACTCTACTGCCCTGAAGGTAGCCTGGGGCAACAGTTGTTCAAGCCTCCCTTGACATACAGAGAAATATAGGTGAGCTATTAGCAGATGCACTTTGGGACTAATGACATTTTTAGATTCATCTTTAGGGCTGGAGTACTGAATGCACATCAGAGCAGACTTAAGAGGCTCAGTTCTTTACATACTTATACACAGTTGAGTTTGGTTAAAATTTGTTGCTCTTAACTATGCTTATCTCTGTTCTGGATGAATAAATTGATTTTATTGCAGGATGGATTGAGATATATCAAGGTGATATAAGCCAGGTTTTCAATTTCCTAATTCATATATTCTTCAGGAAACCTTGCATGCAATACAGTTTGCTTGCTGTAACAAAACATATCTCCAAGTAAGGATGACATGATATTACAAGGAGTATCTTAAACTCCTGGATTCTGAGGCTTACATTTAGCATCACATTTAGAGTGGGAGGAAATCTTCACCTCCCTGACTGCCTGCCCTTCATTTTTGCTAGATGGGCTTCTGCCTATTTAGCAGAAATGCTTCAGAGATGAAGTGGACAGGGAGTGGACAGAGAGGCTGAAAGACCACAGGAAAGCTCACAGCATGGTCTTCCCAGTCGCATCTCCTACCAGGCCACCAATAAGCCCCATTTTACTGCTCTCTGAGGTTGCTTTCTGGACCTTGAAGAAGCTACCTGTGTGCTGGCTGTAAGGGGGTGGGGGTAGTTAAAACTCTGATTCCTTCCTCCAAGGTCAGAGTTCTGTCTCTGACCATGGATTTAAGAATCCACATTATCCTCAGATACTGCCTGGGGCCATAGGATTGCTCCATAAATGCTATAGAGGAGCATGATCCAAATCTTGCCATGTAGTCCACTGATCTTTTGTCTCATGGAATTTTTATTTGTTTAGGAAAGGAGTTCTGAAGCATTTGGTGCTCACTCTTTATGCATATGGACACTAAACAAGAGCCCAGAATTTTCTAGAAGCAAAGAATGGTAATTCATGACATATAATGAGAAGTTTGCATCCATGCTGTTTGGCTATTAATTGCAAACATTTTGCACAAAAATAAACACAGTGGGTTGTATGCAATGGCGCTGTTCAGTCATTGGAAGAGGACCCATTTTCTCTTTCTACCTCTGGCCACCTGTGCTTGCTCAGATCTCTTCTGGAGGGCTGTGGTGCCCTATGGAACAGATTTGGGACACACAGTGTTGTAAGAGGGAGGAGCAGCCAGGCAAGCACAGTTACGTGACTCTTGGAACCAACTCATTATGTGGCCCATGTTTATAATGTTGCATCTCACATGTTTCATCTGAATTCATTCTTTTACGTTGAAAACCAGGTTTTTACTCATATATATATATATATATATATATATATATATATATATGCGCTAAACCAAGCTGCACAGTTACCTCATGGCATGGTATTTCACCTTGCCTGTGTTCGCACATTTGTGGTGACTACTCTTGAGTAGTTTCCACTTTCCTCCATCTTCCCTCCAATGGTGGCACATATCCCATCAGAACCAGGCTCCTTGGGATGCTCATCTTGGTGGCAAGGCGCTGTATTCTGCCAATGCACAGCTCTGGCCAGGGGAGCAATGAGGCAGGAGTCACCAGGGTGACTGCTGCTGGAGGTGCTCCCTGTCTTCCCTCCAGGTGCATGCTCCCCGGGGGCTTGGTTGTTTTGTCTCGCTGCTGCCAGGCTGTCTTGCGAGATGGGTGCATTGGCAGGCATCTCTGTAAGGTGGGGGCACTGCTGAGGTGATGTGGCAGGGCTGTGATGGGGTGACAGAGTGGGGAGTGGACATGGCAGATGGTGGCAGTGAGATGGGGCAGCTGTGCAGTGGGGAGTGTGCTCCAGGAGGAACAACAGCGAGTATGGAGACAGCCAGTCAGTGCCCGCTGGCAACTCAACTGTTGGGAGGCAGAACAGGGCAGCGCCAAACTTGCTGTCAGAAAGGGGGAAACCATGGAAAACATTGCAAATGAAATAGCATAAGGACAAATGATGCTGAAATGTGGAAAACTTAGAACTGTTGGTTCTCCATGGGGATTCGCAGTAACCAAATGTGCTGTTCTTCACCACGATCGCGGAATTCATACATAATGGCAAGCAGTCTTTAGCATGGTTTGTTGTTCTGTGTGAACATAGGCACTGTGTTTGCTAGAGAATAATAGAATCACTTACAATAGAGTATGGCTGGGATCCAGAGGATCACATATGGAATTCTGCTTGTGCCAATAAAACATTCTCAGCCTCCTTTCTTCCACCAAGTTGTGTTAACAGTTATGGCACTCTCTCCTATAGTGAGCAATGTGACATGGGACAAATTTGAAGAAATGAGATAATATTTTGAAGTTCAGTGATAGATGGAAATATTATTTTGTATGAAGGAATGTTTTCGCCTTTTCTTCACATTTTCTACAAATTGAACTTCTCCTTGCAAGGCTCTGTATAATCATAATGCTAAAAAAGAAGAAGAAAGGATCTGCTTGTGATGACTTGTGTATTTTTACATTTTAAACCTAGAGTTTTTGAAAGAAATCTGGCATTAATTATCGTTTTAAAAAATCCACATTGCTCTATTGCTGGAAATCAAGGTGGACCTGTTGTATATGTAAGTCATGCATCAAGTCCCTATCAGCAGGACCCAGTTAACTGAAATGGGAGTAGGGAGATACCACAACACAGTTAAACGTGTGTACTGTTGCCTTTCTTCTGGGCTCCTGGATGATATGAAAGAGCTCATCCAAGAGTGGTTTTGTCTATAGCCATGGACTGACAGTTCTATTTGGCCTTCCTCCCATCCGTCCTTCCTTCCATCCTTCCTTCCAGGCCTCTTCCATTCCCCAGTGCTCCAAAGAGTACCTCTTCCCTCCTGACGCTTAATAAAACAAGTTACCATTTGAACTGCAGTTTGGAAGCCTTTGCCTCAGTTTAAGTGTTTGTCCTTGTAAAATAAGCAAATAGAAAGGGCTTGATATCACTGCTGACTACCTTCAGAGGTTTCTGATAATCTCTGTTGCGGGAAAAGAGATAACAAGCTTGCAGTGCCTGGCCAACCTTTTGCAAGTAAGACAGGAAACATTTTCCTACCAGGGCACCTGCAAAGCCCAAAATGATTTCCTAGCTTTTCATGAAAGGACAGAAGGGGAAAGAATACAGTGGTGCCTTGGCTCACGAACTTAATCTGTTCCCCGACTCTGGTTGTTATTGTTCATCAGATTCAACCCTCTATTCGTTATACTTATGTTGTAGTGCTGCTTCTCAAAGAAATCCTGGCACGGGCACGCTCCTGCAGGAAAGACGGACACAGCACAGCACAGCCACGATCATGCACGTCTTCCCTGCAACTGCGTTGTGGCCATCTCCCCACTCGGGGGGGGGGGGAAGATGGCCGTAATCGTGCTGGTTGAGGGGGTAGATGGCCGAGATTGCGCCTGCCTTTCCTGCAGGAGCGAGCCCGTGATCATGCACATAATCCCTGCACGAACGCAACTACAATTGTGGCCATCTCACCACTCCGGGGGGGGGGGGGGGGATGGCTGTGATCTTGGTCACTACCCAATGCTGAGTTCGTGATCCAAGTCAAATTTTTCATGAAATTTTTGTTCACTACCTGATTTGGTCATGAACCAAGGCGTTCGTGAGCCGAGGTACCACTGTAAAGGCAACTGCATAGAAACAGTTACACACTTCTGCATGTCAGCAAAGATTAGATCCACCAACGTTTCTGTCACCAAGTTTAAATATACCAAATGAGCATGCCACATTTAGTATGTTCCTCCTCTGGGGCATTCAGTTTTTGCTCTTAAGCTAGAACTGTGCTAAAGCGGCAGTTAACTCAAGGAAATGTAATTTTAGAGCATGTGTTAATTTTGGCTGCATGAGTAAGAAAAGCTCTTATTTTCTTGTACATGGGGAGGGCTGTCACAGGTTTATTCCCCATCTTCATTCCATTTTAAAAGAAATAACTCCAAACAGTTTGGAAAAGCTTCAGAGCAGGTGTGGGGGGTGCAGAAATCCGCTCCCCTAGTGTAAGCTGCTTCTCCTTAGATTTTTTAACCAAAGCCAATGTTTTGCCTTTCCCCTTCAAATGTCTTCTCAGTTGAACCTTTAATTTTCATTAACACCTTGCAGAATATATTGAATATTTGATACGAGTTTGGAACATTTTTAGAAAAAAAAACTTGCTAATCAATATGTTGAAAGGAACACAGACCAATTTGTAGGCAGCTGACTTCCAAGGGCATCTTACACAATTTTGCTAACCAGAATATTAGCAAATATACTGGAGGAGTGGGGAGGCTGAAGGAAGCAAACTGTGTTTGGATATGCCAGTGATTTCTGCTTGGGGCATGTTAGGGCTTGCAGGTTTTAAGCCTGAGCAAAAGAAACATCTAAAAGCAAAGCAGAAGGCACCCGGCAACTTAAATGAAACATTTTCCCTCTAGGTATGAGGAACTGATTCTTGAAGAGTCATGTTGGATTTTCAAAGTTCATCTAAATTATGTTGGTTAAGGTAAAATATTTCTGTTTGTTAATAGGGACAGTAATTTGAATGAAAAGCCTTGTATAAAAGGATGCTATTGTTGCTATAGCTAGAGGAAACATATTCTGTTTAGGGTCATTCCTTCTTTGTGAGTGTCTTCTTGTTTGCTTTGGATTCTTTTTTTTTTTGTCCAGGGCTTGACAGGACAACCCACTGCAGATTGTAAAATATTTGCCATGTAGGAAGTTTACATGTCTGTGCTTGTGTTCACTACTTGGAGCTTGTGTTTCTTGCAGAGCCGGTTGACATTTTGATCTCCAAATGTGGGGTGGTATAGAAATGAATAAGAATAAGAATAAGACTGACTTGGGGACAATGTTAAAAATTGTGAAATGACCATACTCCTTTGAAATTTACATTGCACTTTGCTTAAGAATGTACTCCAAGTTTTCTTTGTTGATTTTTTGAGAGGTGAGTATTTTTTCCTTAAATATTTTTCCCTTAAAAATATTTAAGGGGAATTATTTTGGGTGTAGAGATGAAGGAATAATTATGTTTATAAGAGAATGATGCAGGTCTAGTAGGATTAAAGTAGATTTTCAGATTGAAATGAAAGATGAGCCCATATTGCACAATGACTACTGTTGTAGCCCTAGTTTGGCTACCTTAGCATTTCATTTCAATCAAGAAATGAAATATTAGCTGACTTGCTGCCTCACCTTACATGGGCTATGTGAACTTTGATGTCACCATTCATTCCCTTAAAAAATGGTATACAGTATATTTGGAGTGCATTGAATGCAGCGTGTGTGCACTTTTTCTTAACTAGCAGTCATGCAGGTGGTTGGTCTTGGTATCAAGAGCATCACTGTTAGCAGAACCCCCGCTTTAGGGTCTGAAGGGCAGTCCATTTCTATTAAAGTCAAGCGCAAGTTATTCACCCAGAGGTATAGGTTCCACTCTTTTATGTGTTCTCTATTTTCATTCCATCCAGTACAAAATTATCTGTAGTATTTGTGTATGGCTTGTATTAAACTTAGGCTAGCCAGCAGATCTGAACAAATATGATGGTAATATACCAGACCTGACCATATGCAGTAGGATTGACCATTCCCAGGTTTTCAGCTAATTTTCAGCCTTTCCAGATCTGATTTTTTTTCTTGGTAAGACCTTTTCATTGTTAAATTATTGCAGTCAACACTGCACTTTTAAGATCTCCTTACATTTCTTCAAGTTTTCTCCAGTTTTTCAAACTGACATTAAAAAATGAGTATGGGTGGGTAACCTCTGGCTTGCAGTCCTAATCTAGCCTGTGGAAGTTGCCTGCTCAGCTTGTGGAACAAACTTGCCCCTTCCCCAGGCACCATCCTCTGGCCTAGCAGGGGCTTTGGGAAAAAGAATCCTCTAATCTTTGATCTGCAGTAAGAGATAAAGAGATTTCTTTGAGGGAGTGTTAGGTATGCACTTGGCTGACACTTTTGGGAGCTCCTACAGGTGCCAGATGAGTTGACTTTGTTTGTCCTTCACCTACTCTTCACAGGGAAGGGGAAGGACAAGTTAAGCCAAGCTGAACAAATTCACCTGCCTTGTATCTTCACAACAGTAGAAGAAAACGAGCAGGGAAGGTGGCTTTGCTGCACATGGGCCTGTTCCTATGGAAGGAGCTTTGCACACAGCAAAGTTGGTTCTCAACACACATGCTGCGGGGAGGAGCATGACTCTGATGTGCCTGGGAAGGGACCACATGACATTAGAGACATTGTGTCATTTTGTTGATGTCACCCAGCTTGCAAAGGAGCACCATGGGGGCGGGAGCATCTAGTTCTGCAGACAGTTTCAATTGCCCACCACTGCATTAATGAAAAATGTAGATGAAAGGGATACTGGTAGTTCTATAATTTTATAAGAGAAAAATCTATATAGCTTCTTACTGATGCTTAAATTCTTTGATACTCTGAAGGTGATTTTAGAAGTGAGTGCTTGTCAACATGTGTATGGGCAGCTCCATGCAACTATTTTTATGGGTAATATCACCTCTTATTCTGGTAAACTGGATTGTTCTGAATTCAATATTTCAGGATTAAACAAAAATAAAGTTAGTGGCAAGTTCTTCTGTCAACCCTGAAATAATGGTGTAGTTCAGGAGATACTTGCAGCCTCAAGCCATGGAATCATCCATCATTGTACTGGCATCTGTACAGGAGGAAATGTTTCTATCACAGCAGTCCCTATCTGAAAAACTGGATAATGCACACTTACTGTGCAGAAAAATGAGGCAGGTCTCTCCCAGAGGAAGTTAATGAATTTGAGAAATGGATGAAGCTGTTTCAGATACAATCAAGAAGCAGCAGAACCTGAACTGAAAAGATGATGCTTTTGTGATACTGATTTCTTTGGCAGCAAGAGACCTCTGTCAAATTGTTGGCTTTGCTTGATGGAAGTGGGGCAGAATCATCATGTGAAAACAACAAATGTACACAAAACTCTGGAAGGAATGGGCTGCAAAGGGGCTTATTCTTCAGCTGCTTTGATTTATCCTCTTCTTCCCAGTATAATGTGACTTCTTACACTTACTGGGAGAATCAATGTGGAATCACATTAAGTTTCTTTCTCTAAGGATATTTTCCTTGGAAGCCTTGGGGCATGCTGAAGTCAGCCAATACTACCATCTTGTTCCTGCCAGGTGTTGTTTTGGCAACTCATAGCAAGAATATTTTATTCAAGAAACAGTGATGAATAGCAAGGTAAATTAAGGTAATAATGCCATTGTTCGTCAGGCACTAATCTTATGGTAGTCACATTATTTTCCTGTACTGTAGTTTAAATTGATTCATATTTCCTTACCTTGAGATCTCCTTGACTGAGCCTTTCCACCCCCTTTACCTTCATTAAACAGATATTTCACTTACATTGGAAAGCTAAGTTCTTAATTCAAACTGAGTGACTTTCGGTGACTCACTGAAAGGGTTTCTGTTGCTGTGGGGATAACCTTTAAAAATTCACCTGCTTTTCTCATCCCTTCTGCTTTCTCCTTAGGAGTTGGAGGGTTTTGCACAAAGTATTTTGTTCTAGCAACCTTCAGTTCTTTTGTTATTGGTTGTTCTGGACTCTTCTTGCCTTCTTGGTAAAACCCTGACCTACTTAATTGGGGGTAGTGGGAGCAGGGAGAAAACCAGCTGGAATATTGGCAAAATATCTGTGATTAAGCCCTGTATTCCTATACTGGGTAACTTCCACTGAACCCCTTGGGATTCTACTTCTGAGTAGACACATATATGAATGCACTGCAGATAGTTACAGCTACAGACATTGCTTGATTTGGGTTATAGGGTAAGAATGGAAGAAATTCTAAATAGAACTCAAGACAGTTCTCTGCATTAATTCAGTCATCTGGGATTTCTGGAACTGTTTGAATCTGAACTTTTCCTCATGCCCTTAGTTATTTGTGATCCAATTTGACATGCTGATTTGGATTTTATTTTTAATAAACAAAACTTTAAAAGTTACATCATAATATTTTTACATTTTGTGTGAAATCAGTTGAACTGAATTATGCCATTAGGAAACAAAATATCAGTGAAGAGTATTTATTTATATTTTAAAAAATCACTCAAAGCTTAACTTGGCTACTATTTTGATTAGAATATATGTAAATACTTTAAGACATTACGAACACATAGAATGCATTTTCCTAACATTGTTGAAACTGTAAGGGGAGGGTAAATACACTGAGAGCCATTGATATACCAAATTTTTCATGTCTAAATATGATAAGCCACTCTTGCCCACTGATTTATTTCAACAAAGTTTAACTTTCACTGAGCAGTATCTTCCATTTCGCTGTCTGTAAAAGTCCCTACACTACTTGCAAGTTCTAGTCCAGATAGTGGTGAATCTGATTCAGAACTGCCTGAGCCACATTCTATTTCCCTGAACATTGATTCTGCCTGCAATGAGTCTTGGAACAGCAGATCATACTTCATCCTTTTCATGAGTTGCACATGTGACTGATTCTCTTGCAATAATGAGAGATTTTGAGACACAGAAATAAGCTTGGCGGTACGTTCATTTGTTAGCCTGTTCCTCTTCTTTGCATTGATTGAGTTGAATGCCTTCCAGTTCTTTTGACAGGAAGCGGCAGTGGGTGGAATGCTTAGGATCCTTATGGCAACCCTGGACAGTTGTCTGGTGTTGCAATATCCCTTCCACCATGTGAGAGGGGAGACATTCTCTGATGCCCGCCAAATGATGTCCTGGCTCCAAAGCTTTTCTTTTGCACGATATTCTGCAATGTCCGTCATCACAGTTATTTCATCAATGTTTGGGATGTTCTTAGCTAATTCCATGATTGTATCAAGAGCAGTTGATAATTCATTTTCAGATAAATGTTCTCCACAGTGTCTAGGATCTAGTAGATTGGCTGCCAGGTGAACTGGATGAAAACAATGCTCAGATCTGTTATGAAATGCTTGCTTTACTAGTGTGACTTCTTCTTTGGAAAGAGGTGAAGAAGGCAAAAGTTCAGTTAGGTTTTCATTCAGTTTCCTGAATATGGCTGGAATATTTGAAAGAGTTGTTTTCTCTCCTTCAAGTTTCTGGATAGCCTCTGAAATTGGTAGTAGCAAATTGAATATTCCTTCAACTTGAACCCAAAACATATTGTTATCAGTGTGATCACAGGTGTTTGCAAAAATAATCTGGGAGACTGCACCTTCTAGTGAAGTACACTGCAAACAGTTCTTAGCATGCAGCAAACTGTCTAAACACTTTATGACCGAGTCCCATCTAGTTTCTGATGGCAATAAAAATGCTTTTTCCCTTCCCTGTTTCTCTTTCTGTAATCTTTTCAAAGCTTGATTAACCTCATGATGATTTCTGAATGCTTTCACAATTGCTTTGCAGTTTGCTAGCACTGTTTTCATTGTGCTCACACTTACTATGTCCTTTGCTAGAAGATTTAACTCAGAAGCAAGACAGCCAAATATTATTAAATGAGGGTACTTTCCTTTTAATATTTGCCAGGCAGTTTTCATGCTACTTGCATTATCAGTCACTAGGGCTTGTACCCTTTGTGGACCTGCACTTTCAATCTCTTCAGTCAGTAAGTTTGCTATACATTCAGTGGTATGATGAGAAGATGTGGTAGGAATTGCTTTGAGAAATACTGGTTCAGGCATGGCAAACATAATGCTCAGTAAAGACTTTCCTTGTATATTAGTCCACCCAGTTGATATCAGCGTCAGTGCCTCTGTTTGACTGATCCTCTGAACAGCCATTGTTTGGACTCTGTTGTACTCTCTGTCTAAAAGAGAATGTGATAGGCGATAACGTGATGGTAACTTATAAGATGGGCGAATTAGTTTGTAATGCTCCTTCCAGTATTGATTTTCCGTTATGGAAAGAGGTATTCTGCTTGCAAATATAGCTCGAGCTAATGTCTCGTCAGCTCTTTCTTGATCTTCTTTCGACATTTTGTCTACAAATTTAGCTAGAAAACTAGGCTGCCCTGAGCAGCTACTCATGGATTGCATATCTTGAGGCACTGATCTTGAAAAAGAAGGCCCTGCTTCTACTTTCCCCAGAGCTGGCAGCTTAACACTTTCAGTGTTCACTTTTGGAAAAATTGTTGCTTCACTTGAGTTCCCAAATTCCTGCAACAAAAGGGGAAAAACAATTTTGGTCTGTTCTAATCTACAGTTAATGGACTTCTAAACCATAACATGCTTACATAGTTATAAAATTAACAGGTGTTAGAGATGCTAGTCTGAAGAGTTAAGTTTACTATTTACTTACGATTAATTCCTGAAGTAGACTTTTCCCAGAGGTTGTTCCAGCACTTAACTGTAGTAGCTTCTTGTAAGAAGATTGTACTCTTTCTGGACATTTTTTGCATATTGTCAGATGTCTTTTCATTCTTGTTGCATTATTTGCATATGTCTGGCCACAGTATTTACATTGACCTATTATCTTCTTTCCTTCAGTGGTTTCAGTGTAGTGATGCCACACACCAGTTTTCTGGTTAGGCATTATGACTATTTCAAAATTAAGCTAAAGCTGAAAGTCGTTTCTTAAAATCTGAACAGGGTTTGATTCAAAGACTTCCAGCCTGCCTAAGCTTCTCAAAAGAAATGAAGTAGTGAGTGCTCTGTGTGTTTAGCAGTGATGTGGAGTGGAAAATTTTCTGTAATGGAAAATTTTCTAGTACTATTTTTTTTCCACAGGAAATTTTCCATTCCCAGGCCTCGGTGAAATTCACTCTGGAATAGATTAAGGGACAACCGTGGCATATCATGCACAGCTCTTTGGTTAAAATTAGTATATTAACAGTTTTCAGTGCCTGGATTCTTTTCTTTAAGTGTAAACAGTGTAAGGGAAATGAGTGTTACAGAGATGGCCTGTCTTAAAATATCCCTAGGGTTTATAATAAAAATAATATCCCAGTAAAGCACTGGATTTTTTAAAAAGTAGCATATTACCCGTACGGAGTGCTTTTTCTCTCTCACCCCCTGCCTCCCAAGCAAACGTTTCATTTCAACTATTGAGGGCTCATGGAAAAATGTTTGTTGTGTGTGTGTGTGTGTGTGTGTGTACACAACACATATAATTGGTGAACTTTTAAAGTTGTATTTACTAAATATAAGATAAATTTGCTAAATCAGATACCAAATTATTTAGGACACTGCGACATTTTCATGTTTAATTTCTTGAAAACCCACATCACTGATTCAGAGGTGCAGTTGGTGGTGACCCGAGAGAGTGCCTTTTTGAGAGTCATTCCCAGACTGTGGAGCCCCTTCCCAAGGCTGGCTGGTTTTGCTTCCTCTGTGCTATCATTTTTCTAGGAGGGAGACTGCTTTATCTAAAAGGGTCTTTTCCCAGGAGGAGGGTCTGTTGTGTTGGGTGCTGTTTTTAATTTTTACTTACATTGTTATTTTGTGATTGTTGTGTTATTTTTAATGTATTACTGTCATGAACTGTAACTATGTCCATAAGCCATCTTTTGTGCCATTTTTGCTGAAAGGTAGGGCACAAAGCATAAATAAATAAATAGTTAGATAAGGTTGCTCTTCTTTTTGCTTCCCACACATTGCAATCAATATCCAGAGCTATCTTCAGATTGCTTTCCCAGAAGGGGTTACAGAGGATAGCTGCAAGGATGAGGGCCTTGTCAGTGGTGACCCCACTCCCCACTCCCAACAGTGGAACGCTTTCCCCACTAAGGACCAGCTGACACCAGCAACATCTGTTTTTCTCCTTTCAGGTCAAAACTTCCAGGCATCTAAAAGCAAATGGTGGGCTTTTCATGCATTAGTAGTTTTGATTAGGGTCTGCGCCAGTATTTTGGTACTTCAATGGAAATTGTTTCTAGTGTGTATGTTTCAGTACTTTTGTTTTAAGTCCACTAGTGTCTTTTTAAAGAGAAATTAATTAAACATTCAAATTAAAAATAATATTATAATTTTCTATAGCTTTAGTTTAGTGCTATTTTTACCTTGTGTCTTTTTTCATCAGCTGGATTTCAAGGGAACCCAGCCAGTGCTTAAGTTACAGAAGTGCCAGAGGTGAACTTTCTTCCCTTCTCTTTTCTTGTGGCTTGTTTTTAAAAGCATGCAGGAGAGACGTGATTCGGTTAAAATTGGAGGGAAGCCTTTGTGTATTTCATCAACGGCCTCCCTATCCTTCCCTCCATAAGTCAAATACTTGAACCTAGCTTTTCATATATCCTGGTAAAAAATAGTTGACAAACAGTGTTTGAGCAGAAGAGTTCATCATCCACAACTTTCTAAACAAGTTACTGAAATTATTTTTTAATGAGAAGTAGATCCTAATCTGTATCAGCCAAAGCTCAACATGGACTTGTGGTAGATTCTTATCAAAATGTTTAGTTTATGCAGGATGATATAACTATTTTGTAAGGTATAGGGCAGTGATGGCAAACCTTTTAGAGACCAAGTGCCCAGCCTGCAACCCAAAACCCACTTATTCATCGCAAAGTGCCAACACTGCAGTAAAACCTGAATACTGAGGTCTTAGTTTAGAAAAAACAACTCACAGCCAGTCCAAGCCAATATATGTATATCCTTGTCAGCACACTGACCAGCCATGCAAAAGCTCGGACAAGTCGCAACTAATGAATTGTGGCTCGTGACATCCTTGCCTGGCGCTGCTACTCCTTTCCAAGCATGCGCATGGCCCCTATGTGTGCTGTTATCTGATGCTCGACTGCTGGGGTGATGCTGGGGCAACTTGGCTCTCTTGCCAACAGAGAGGGCTGTGTGTGCCTGCTGTGGCATGCGTGCCAAAGGTTCACCACCACTGGTATAGGGTTTGAGTTCTATCAGATGCACTTGCTTTTCCATAGAACTATTAAATCATGTTTGAGAGGCTTTGGTAGTGAATGACTTGATTGGAAAGCAGTGTTAAGAGTTGAACTAGGGATAAAACTTGAAATGAAAGATTGTGTACCTGAAGTTCTATTCTGGTATCCCAGTTTTCAGAGCAAATTCAGAATTATTTTGTCATTTTTGCTTTTTGAATAGAGCTGTGGGGGTTCCCCTGGTATTTGAACTTGAAATGTACAATTGTGTCCTGCAAACACATATCAGATTTCATGCTGATATCTTAGTGTTCAGGAATGCCAAATACGTGAGTTCAATTGAAGACCTTTGTTTGGCTGGTTTGTGTTGCCCAATTTTATATATGTATTTTAGAAAGCCTAATGAACCAGTGATGGTTGCTCAAGCATTGGTGAAACAGTTTTCATGGGCAGTGAGATCACCAGGAGTTGCTGCCATTCTTGCTATCCATGATGGGATTGATATCCTAGATTTGGATGACATAACAACCCATCTTGGGTACAACTCCCTAGAACAAGCTATGGGTTGTTGTCAAGAACAAGCCATCCTGTGGGAAGTAGTTTTGAGTTCCTATGTCATGATAACACATGTGGCTTGTGTTGTGGGAACCTGGTCAGTGTACTACAAAGAGGTACAGATGCAACTTGAAATGCCTCTGGGAAATGCAAGTTGTAGTTCAAACAGAATAGGCCTTTAAATCCATGGATTTTTGAGATACATTGAAATGTGGTTTGTTGTTGTTAGTCTTGAAGTTGTGTCCAACCCATCGCGACCCCATGGACAACATTCCTCCAGGCCTTCCTGTCCTCCACCATCCCCCAGAGTCCACTTAAGACCACGCCGACTGCTTCAGTGACTCCATCTAGCCACTTCATTCTCTGCCGTCCTCTTCTTCTTTTGCCATCTATTGTTCCCAGCATTAGGCTCTTCTCCAGGGAGTCCTTCCTTCTCATTAGGTGGCTAAAGTATTTGAGTTTCATCTTCAGTATCTGGCCTTCTAAAGAGCAGTCAGGGTTGATCTCCTCTAGGACTGACCGGTTTGATCGCCTTGCAGTCCAAGGGACTCGCAGGAGTCTCCTCCAGCACCGCAATTCAAAGGTCTCAATTCTTCGGTGCTCAGCCTTCCTTATGGTCCAACTTTCACAGCCATACTAACTTTCACAGCCATACATTAATGATAGGAGAACAAATGATTTCTCCAATAGATCAGCATAGTGTACAACCTGCCTTTATTCTTACAACAACTTTTTGAGATATGTTAAGCTATGAGAAAGTGACTGGTTTATCCAGTGAGCTTCATGGCTGAGTAGGGATTTGATGTTTGGGTTTCTCAGGCCATAGTCTGGCTCTAACCACTAATAGACAGTGAAGAGACATGCTGTTAAATGTGCTTGTGTAAGAAGCATGTGCCTATTTTTTCCCTTTCAAAATGTCAAATGCCAACATATTGTGTGTATGCTCTTTTATGGCTGTCCCTCTGCCCGGTTTAAGATTCAGTAGCTGATGCTAGCACAATTAGCCATTGTAATCTACTTGCCAGGAATAAATGTTACTGTCGCTTTCCAGTAGTCCTTGGTGAAATGGTGGATTCCTTTCTTTTTTCAGAATAGTATCTGCTGTGTTACTGCATGTGTCTAAAAATATCTCATTTGTGGGCTTTCCTGCTCCCTCCATGATTAAGGAGCATGTACAGTTCAGCATAAATTATATTTGATTGTTCATTTTATTTCATTTCTGTACCACCTAATAGCCAAAGCTGTCTGGGTGCTTCATGACCAAAGCTCAGCAAACCAGTGCAATAAAACTGAATAAAATTTACTTTATAAAAATTTAAATAAGCAACCAAAAGAGTTTTCCTAATACATTTGGACTGACATTAATCCCCCTTCCCTATATGCATAAATGCCAGGTGCTTCAGAGAAAAGCCACCAAAAACATAGCAGAATTGGCAGCAGGCAGGTCTTAGTGGGGAGATGATTGAGGGCTGCTACTGAGAAGGCCTTCCCTATTGTTGCTGTCCTTTGAGGTGGTACTCAGATGAAGGCCTCAGATGTTGGTCATAGTGTCTAGGTAGATTCAAGCTGGGAGAAGCACTCGCTGAGGTGTTGTGGTCTCAAGCTCAATAAGGCTTTTTAGGTTAGAATCAGAACCTTGAATGGACTCATAAGAATCCATGGGACCAGACAGTATACCCCAAGCTCCAGTACCTGAAGTAGAACCATTGCAATGCTGTAGCCTCACTCCAAGCTCAGATAGTTGTGTTCACAAGGTTTAGACAGGCCTATGCACAAATCCTAGCTCAGCCATTAAGCCTTTGGCAAGTTAGAATTTCATAACATAGTTGCAATATTAAAAAAGATAATTGTAATGTCTATGCTACGTTGATTCCTTTCAGTGAAAATGGGTGTGCAGACATGGGTTAGTACCTGAGAAGCCCACTGCTTATTGATTGTGTGTGTGTGAATGCATGCACACATACTGATTTTTCTCTTCTAATGTAAGGAACTTCTGGTGGAGTGGGTAGTTGTTCCTCAAGGTAGGAAGAGAATTTATATAATCCTGCTGTGTGCATCTGGGATACTTCAAGTGCTGCTTTGGCTCCTGGCTGTGTTAATTAACCCTTATTTTTAAGCTATTCTGTCCTCTAAACTAAAAGAGACTAAGGGTGCGATACTAAGGTATGTTTAGAGAGAAAAAAGTCCCACATCTCTATTTCCTCCTCTCCATTTTATCCTCACAACAACTATGAGAGGAAAGTTCAGCTGAAAATAGTGTCTGGATGGACTTGGCTTCATGTCTGAGTGGGGGCTTGCACATAGGTTGTCACAGTCCCAATCTAGCACTGTAAACACTACAACACACTGGTTTCTGTTGCCTTGTTATTAGGGGAAAATATGCTTTCAGTCTTTCTAGATTCCTAGAGGGAGACTTGTAAAAGATAGTAAAGAAAAGTTAATGATTTTAGTAATGCCTTGGATGTGTAGAGAAATGAACATACATAAGATGTTTGTGTGAGATTGCATGTTTCATTAATTTACTAAAGCACTCAAACATGTTTCTTAGGATTATATATCTTAGCTGAGGATGGCATTTATTGAAACTGCTAAGGCCAGCCTAGAGCCATTTCTGTTAACGTTGAGAAAATGGGTTAGAGGAGAGAGATCAACCTGCCTCTGAAAGCCCAGGGATAGCAGCTTCATTTGAACGGATGTAGTAATACAGCTTGCAGCAGTGGTGTTGCAGGTCACAGTTCTGGATCATTTGATTTTTAGTTTCAGTTTTGCTTAAAGCTTGTATTTTAAATTTTGGGTTTGCCACAATGCAAGGTGGAAACAAAAGAGAATGACAATAATCTATAATGCATAGGAAGTCATAATTGTTTAATAGTTCAGTAATAGGACTAGCAGTTTTTGCTTACTTAAACCAAGGAGATGGAAAAAGAAAGACCCATTAACACTTCCTTTGCCTAGCCCCTCACCCAGCTTTTAGGCCTGGGTGGGCAACTTGTAGCTTTCCACATACTTTGGCCTACAACTCCTATTGTGCTAACCAGCGCAGCCAGTGGTGAGAAATAATGCATGTTAAAGGACAAAACATTTAGAGAATCACAAGTCATCTCACCCCTCTTTCAGTGTTCACAGTTGTTTGTCCATCAGCTAATCTTTGGTGATTGGAGTTTCAACTTGATTCAAAAAGAAAAGAGTATGCTGAAGGTGAAGCCATGCTATCCTATAACATGCTCTCTGTCTTGCCACAAACATGTGCACATATGTGTCTGTGTGTGCTTGCAGGGACTGAAGAAATTGTGCAGATGAGCACATGGGTATTCAGTTTTTAAAACATGTTAAGTAATATGTTTGTGATTGTTATTTAAAGTCGATATTAAGTCATTAGTCAGGCTTTTTTCCTTAAAGCAAATGCCACTGAGATACATTTGGTAGCATAGTATCTCTGCAGAAGATCTCTTTCAACAAAATTTCTGTGCAAACTTTGCTGTCAAGCAAATTCAAGCAACTCTTTGGTAATCTCTGTCCTCCTTTTGTTATAGATCCTCCACATGCACATATGCCTGCCAAGAAACTGCTGAGTGCGTATTCATAACTAGAACCACCCTATCCTTCTCTAGTAAATAGACACACTTAGAAATCAGGATGGTTAAATTAACAAAAGATGCTCCTTTTAGAAGAGACTTATTTTTCAGAACATAACCAGAAGAGGCAGTATGCCACAAGGGGGAAATAATAGAAGAAGGATATAAGGCTCCGTAAGTGAAACTTGTATAGTTGAGGGGAAATGCCTTTTCTTGCTGTTTCAGCATTTTGGCAGTGTAGATGTGCTAACGGGGGAGAGAGTGAAAATACTTCCCCTGATTTTAGAAATGTAGTGGGGTGGGGGGCAGCTGTTGTGATGAAGAATACTGCCATGTTCAGCTTACAGCTTGCCGTGAAGCCAGATGGCCCTCTCTTCAGCGCATTAAAAGGGCATGTTGATTCTGTTTGTGAAGTAACAATTTATTTGGAGCAATCTATTAAAGTCTTCTTCAAGCAGCATTTAAAACTTGTTATTGAAGCAGATACAGGATTTCCCTGTTTATGATTACTAATGCATCTTGCCTTATAGAACTGCTAGATAATTTATTCCCTGAAATGGTTGCATCAGAAATAGGTTACAAATTCACAGGCCAGGATTGTTTTGCTTTTAGTTGCTTCCAAGTAGCATATTGCTGTGATGAACTAGTGCATACCATACTGATTTGATAGACCATGTTTGGTTTTATTAATACATTTATTTATTTATATCCCATCTTTTAAGGCTACAAATCCTTCCAAGGATACTGTAGTAAAATAAAATGAAACTAAAGTATAGCAAAACAAAAATACATTAAGAACATGTCAAAACAGGACAACTCAGACAAGTCCTTCTCATTGTTCAGTTTGTGATGCTCAGTTCTGAGCAGCAGGAAGTGGGGGGACAGTCCAGGTGGAGCAAGCTGCGGTGTTGTCTTCACCATCCTTCTTTTCTCTCCCATTGATCCTCCTAGGGTAGATTGACCTATGGCAGATTATGTGGATGACATTAAATTCAGCTGATGTAATCATCTTAATTCCTTATCTTCTGCCTTGAAAACTATGGAATTTACATTTACAGGGATAACAGTGGGGAAACACTCACCCTGACCCAAAAGTGGGTTCATCTACGGTGGACTCACGCAAAGCCATGGAAAGTTCAGCTACCTGTGGGCAAAATCCCCATAGCTTGACTGTTCTACTCAGCATATGCCAGTATAGATATCAGCCTACAGGAAATCAGCCCTAACTTTGTTAATACTTAGTTACATGTACCCAAGTGAAAAATTCATGTGCTCCCTGTCCTGTTAGTCTTTTTTTCCCTTTTAATGTGGAAGTGTTAGTTACACTGTTAGAAGCAAAGTCTGAAAAGAAAAGTCAGAGAGTTCCTGAGTATAAGGAGCTACCCCAGGTTACAAAATAGCATTCCAATGTACATGTTCATTTCCTCTCCTCAGAGGATGATGAAAAGGAGGAAGAGATGCATTGATGGTGGAAAGGGAAATGCAGTTAACTCCAATGCTCTGAACAAGCTGCATTATTTTTGGATTCTTTCTGACCATTGTCCAGTGTAGCAGAAGACAATCTGCCTCAGTTAAGAATATGTAATAAGAAAGCTAACACAGAGATGTTTTAAAGATACATTTTCTCAGTCTATTTCCTGATTGCTAGTAGAGTTATGATTTTCCTGTAATTTTTATCCTACATTTTGTGGACAGAAGAACACACAGTGACTGAATGCACATGTCATGATGAGCTACCGTAGATT